TTGAAAGACATGTAGTGACGAACACGCGCCAGCTTTTTTAATCTAAAACGTCTATGGTCTTAAATTAAGGAAGAATTGCACTTTATCTCCCGAAAGATTTAATAATTTATATTTTATACTTTCAAAAATTATATTTTTCATATTGTACAGTATTACAATGTATAAAAGTGTTAAAATATGACACAACTTATTAACACGACATAAAATTAAAAAGATTGACTCCTCATTAAATCACCCGTTTCGTAAGCGAATAGATCCGACATGACACAATTAATAAACGAATCGGTTATGACTCCAATCAAAATAAATACACAATATTACTCATTTATATGCTAATTATACAAGATTCATAAATAACATGAATTGATATGACATGACTCATTAGACACTATAGTGCTTTTAACCCACCTCACCCAACATAATTGACAAACCTAACAATATGACCATTTCTTTAGCTTTCATACCCATTTCGTCATCGTCAATGCGGTTATTTTTGACAAAATAAGCAACGAAAATTAATTGAAGAGTCAAATTATAATATTTTTAATACATTACATATATAATATGAAAACGTTTGGTTGTATATAAAAAGGTATATGAAAGAGTCATAACATTGCAACTCAAACACTTTAAAGGTTTGACTCAAGAAAACATCTTGTTCAAAACATATGCAAGATTTTCTATGATTTATATTCTAGGCTGACCAAACAATAAGATTAAAAAACAAAAACTAAATGATGCGACACTGACAAGACGAATAAATTTCAAATTGTAAATAAGTAAAAGTGAAATCAAATATACCAAAATATCGACGGTCCGCAATAATGAATTCTTGTTCTCGGTCCATTTTTTCAGTCACTATAGGGTTATCTTTATGTCTTTCAAACTATGTTGTAAAAACTATGCTGTAAATGAACAGTAGTATTGTAAATGGTAAAGATGAACTTGGTTTGCCATAGTATTATCAACAATCGTTAATTCTTCATCCTTGTCTACAGAAATAACCAAAAATTGTCTTAACTAGAATCGGGAACTAGACACAGAATCAATAGTCAATATACGATGCTCAGTGTTGTACAACATATAAAACTTGTCATACCTGAAGAACAGAGAAAGAACTTTTGGTGGCCAGTTTTAGCCAATGACGATGATCAACTGAGGTGGAATTTAGCGAACTGAGGATCGGAAATCAAAGAGCACCTACTTACTGTAGACAATCATTTCTTTAACTATCACCTCAAGAAGGATGAGTGCCTACTTACTGTAGACAATCATATGAAGATGAGAATCTAAAGAAACTGCAATGAGAATGAATATAGTAGTGTCTTCATAAACTATTTCTGGAGTGAGGGTACTGCAAGATCAGAGGTTGCAAATGTAAGAACTACAAGGTATACATCTTTCGCTGTAACTATATTGCACATAGTCTCAATTCATGGGAACAATTATGTACTTAATTACTATAGGAAGTTCAGAATTAGACTGCAAATACAATGATTATCCACCCTTATAATGTCAATATCTACAAGCAACTAGTTATATGACTATGTGCGAGGTTTTACTCCGTCAAATTCCAATTTGGTGGCGTGCTGATTGTGGGGAGCAAGATTGGGACCAAGAATTACAGCTCGAAGAATAAGGAGAAATTGGGATGGCACCCTATAGAAGATGGCAACAAAGCATGCCATGATTACACATCCAGGCAGGCAAATGCATTCTTACCTGTCAGGTTACAACACCCGCTAGTTCCAACTTCATCTTCATGTTACCAGCTTGAACTACAATTTCTTCTTTAGATGGCTCCACTTTTAAGACTGTTGCTTTCTTGTTAAGAGAAGACACATGCACCAGAAAAAACAGTTTTCGGAAAGGATATAACATAGTTATATATGCTGTGAACACTAATCAGCAGCAGGCAAGGATGACTGCAACATGAAATCTTATCAGTGATGGATGATGATGATACTGATGTTGGTTGCTCAATATTGTTGGTGTATGGACTCTTAGTTGCTATAGAATTTTCAGTAATATCTGCTGTAGTATGCAGACTGTTATCTGCTGTATTAAGCTGGGAGGGCAAGTGGCAGAGGCACAAAACTGTCGGAGTTTCTTGTGAAGGATAGAACGTGCTATTGCTCCTGTCTCGGATATATCTCTCATCTTCCTGTATCTTTGATCAATTCCATGTTTCATGACCTTCCTTCTGGTCTCTAGTAGATTTTCATGAAGATCCCTTGACAGCCTGAAACCAAAGCTTACATACCAGATAGAATATTTAAGGGCAATCGATTTGGAATTAATTTTTTTTTTTTTTGAACAATGAATTAATATTTGTTCAAACTTGTCTTTAAGTAAATGAAAATCACAGCATCACACCGAATTTTTTTACATCTTTTCTAAAGAAAAGGTTGACACAAATAAGACAAACTATCCTCCTGACTGAATTTAGATTATTTGCATCAGCTACATTAATGGTTAGAGGTAAGAGATCATCCAAATGTACATCTATTTTATCTATACAACTTTTATATAAAAACTTAGTGAGCAGGATTTCCCTTGGTAGTCATAGCTGGTGATGAAATCATACCAGGCAAACTCTATGTCAATGAGGTGTAGAACAATAATTTAAAATATGTTATACAAGAACGATAGTTTCTAGATCTCTTCCCACTATGTTAAGCAAATCTGGAGACTCATTTAGATAATTAGGGAGTAGATTTGAAATCTCTAGATTCTATATAAATGCCCACTTTCTGTGAAAATTGCTAATGGACATCCAGTCCAAGGCTAAATATGGGCAGGAGACTGTATAAAAAGAAAAGATGAGCTTGACTACATATATTGCTGGTTAGAGACAGGGTTGCACTTTGGATTCAATAACGTAAGGCAATTTGACTGGAGGTAAAACTAATTCTTCAAACTGAGCAAATGACACAAGGATAAAATTGGATTCTCCTGTACTGGTGTTTTTTCAAAGAAATGTAAGGAGTCAGAAGCCAGTAATGGCAAATAAATGTGTATAGAGGCAATAAAAGCAAACAAGAGTAAGTTACAACCCCCCTCTACAATTGAAAATCAATTGATGTTCAGGCATGTTAACTGACAGTAAAGCAGAGCTCATAGTTCTGTTTATTACTGATACATGCAGTGACACAGAGCTCATACTTTTGTTCCAAACCCTGTAATGTTCCATGGGATAATGTTGGCATTTGTTCAAAACCCAGATACGTCTGAGCAAATATCAACATTATCCCATGGAACATAACAGGGATTGGAACAAAAACGTGACCAGGCTCACGTTTGTACTTATTGAGCCATCCAATCAAAAGCAGATGGAGTCATATAAATGCTATACAGTGCCCTTCTCAATTATAGGCATAAATGTCTATATCATAATTTCTAGGTTGTAGCATTCTAAAGTTGCTGGTGCCATGAGGTTTCACTTAGTTTATACTATAAGCATATTTTGGGAAGCAAAAGATTCTCACAACATATAATGTTGCGCTTCATGGATATGCTCATGAAAATTCTGCTTCAATGTCTTCATATCAACTATGACCTGCAGCAAATTATAAAAAGCAAAAATCATTTCAGTGTTATAGAAGACATTGGGTGACCCAGCAGACCATCACCAATAATCATTCAATGCCCATGCGAAACAGAATCTGTTCGTCACCAAAAGCAGCAAAAACAGGGATCTTTACAGGCTCAAAAGCTAATGCATAAATACCTGCAATGGAGATAAATAATTAAGAAGTACAACAAAAGCATAAAAGGTCTGAAATATCTAGAAAGACACTAGCAGATCATATCCAATATATGTAGTCTGATTCTCTACATGGTCCCTCGTTTAGCAAGGTCATCTGGTAGAGATACATCATTGGGTCTGGTACAAATCGGGATAAGAGTTCCATCATAACTATTACGAATGACAGTAAAAGTACCCGGTCAAAGCAGGCTTTGCATATCGTTGGATTGAGCATCTCTTTCGAATTCTAATATATTACGAGTATCTATCTTTCCATTCTTGAACAATGCCATAGGCTTTAGTTCCTCCCCTTTCTTTGGAGTGGACAACTTCATGTTATTATTTTTCTCATTATTTACATACGGACATATACAAGTTTTCACAAACTCATGATGAATAAAACCGAAATACCATGCATAACAAATATTAATATTCATAACAAATCCTTCGATAAAGAGCTGCCCAATTTCTCCTTTCCCATAGCCATACTCCATTCAAATGTTAAGACAACTTTCACTACAGACAAAGGCTAGTATGGCTACCGTGTTTTGCTCTTGAGAACAACTACACCATGTGTACTGATGCATGTAAACAAAAGCACTAAGATACTTAAAGATGGTCAATATCACATGTTATGCATAACAGGAGACAAAGTTCTCCTATTGGAAGCACACATGCCTTTGTTTTTTTAGTATTGCAGAACTTACTTTTTAAATTGTTGAACTCGACTGGTTTTTGCCTCTCTGCAGTCTGTGCAACCTAAAGGTGGTTGGCAAACACGAGTAGATCATGGGGTGGCGTTCGGTCTCATCATCCAAAAGCTCGCAAATGTCTTCGGGCTCTCACCAAGAAAAGGTTATTACATCACCTAGAGGATGGTCGTTGAATCATCCCCACAGTGGTTGGTCGGCCCATGGCTCGACCTCTCTCGAGCGACTATTCATGTGGGTATCCTATCAAGCACCAACAGTGCCCATTATTGTATGCCTCAATCGGCTGCCGCAACTGCACGGTCCACTCAATTCTTACGAGGGTTGGTAAATCCCGACGCGATTGGCATTATCGAAGAAGTGGCTGTCATTGTTGCCTCCATACCCTCTCAACAACAAACCTATACAATGGTCATATTCTCACATGTCAAGTACTGATCGTGACCAGTTAAACTCATGAAGGGTCTAGTTTTTGCTCTTGAATCCACAATGCACCTCGGTATTAAATTCTCCACTGTACAATAGTGAATTGCATATTATCAAGGAAGTGGCTGTCAACACCACTTATCATCCCCAAAACAAAGCTCTATGATGATCTCTTTGGGCAAAGAAAACTATCACCATATCCTTGCTAAAACAAATCAAGTTTCTCACTGCTACCGACTAACTACTTTCTCGGCCTAGCACTCTGGTGCCATATGCTCAGCACTAAGATGGAAAGACTCTCACCAAGAGCTATAGACCTATCAATCCCAAGGTGCTCAATCCATCCATCAAAGGCCAATGGGTGATCAGTTTGTCACCAAAGATTGGCTCCACTTGTAGCAATCCCCAGACCCCCCCAAGAACCCTTCAATGACAAGCACCATCAAAGGCCATTCTGTTGAGACATGGAATTCCACTTCTATGTCTATACGACTCAAATATGTGCAAATCCACACTGATCACTTAGATCATTCTATATTCACTCAGATACTATACTTCAAGAAGTATTTTGAAAAGCAGCATCTTCCCAGCAATCACCAAATAAACATGCTCGGCATCAGTTAGAACTGGTCAGCACTATCAAGATGAAGATCGGCATAGTCCTATTAGTGCCCTTATGTCGACCCAGGCTAACCGAAGCAAGCCCCCACAATTGTGCATACCAGAAGTGGTGTCAATCTCACCTAGGGACCACCATTTAGTGGTCAATCTATGTATCCCAAGCATGGCCTCTCAACGATAAAGTAGCTCTTCATTTTCTCCATAAAAGATGGTTGAAGACCCAAAGTTCCCTCTAACCTCAAGTTGGTTTTGTAGCTCATGGACTAGATGATATTTGAAAACTAGGGACGCACCTCAATACATGTTAGTGATTGCGCAAATTTTTGTCCGTATAATAATCTAGCAACTGAAAATTTTTGACACACGGGAGAAATTATGTAGTCATGGAAAGCCATTCCTCGAACAACATCCCTTCTCCCTTTGGGTGGTAAGTCTTAACACTGCGTCCAAACCTGAACCAGCATAACACGAAGCTAGGACATTGGGATCAGATATGATGATACTAGGGTGGTAAATCTGGAAGCCTATAACTGGCACGAATCATTATGGACTTAGCAAACTCAACCTCCCTATACGATTGGCCACATTTTATTTACATGATCGCAAAATGAACCAGTTAAAAACCTTCATAAATAAAAATCATATTTCATTTGACAATAAAAGCTGTAATACTTACTTTTAGTTTTAATGTCGGCATTTTGAAAAAAAAAAAGTTATCGATCACCAAAAGGGTTTTAACTGGCCATCATCATGACAAGTTTACAAATTAATCATGTCAATATCAACAAATCAGTGTATTAAATTAATCAAGCCAGTCGTCAGTAGGTTATGTATGCCTTTAAAATGCCATGATCTCTATTTGCAGCTTCTGTAAGTGTTCTGTATTCTCAAGTAAGCAGGTCTCTAACCCCACATAGTGCCATCACGACAATGCAAGCACAAATGACATCCTAATTCCTACCCCAAACATTTCCATGTGGGATTTCGTATTGCAGTTGATAAATTCAAGGAAACAAGAAAAGCAAAAATGAAAAAGACCACAACTCCATGACAAGTCCAATGTATAACTCTACAACAACTTCATGACAAGTCCAATGTATAACTTATAGCAGTAGAGTTACTGACATCCTTTATGGCCTTCTGCAAACTGTGTCAATGCTGTTGAAGTGATAAAGGATGATAAGCTTTTGGCAGATACAGTGTCTATTTACTCTGAGTGGGGTGTGATGCCACTGAAAGTTTTTATCGATGTATAGCATAAAATAGACAAGTAACAAACTACCTTTTACTACCTCGATATCAACTGAAATTCATGAGATATCATTATAAGTTTCACCAATATATAACACCAAAATTTTCATCTGATATTTTCAATTTATCATTCCTTTGCTCGCATAGATCTAGGCCTATTTGTTTGGTCAATCATCAAAGGCAGGGGGAACCACTAAAGACGAGACCCCCCGACCTTGATTATTTTGCATAGTCCGGGGGCCGGCAGCAGCTGGGCATAGTGGCGCTCTCGCCTGGCGCCATTCTCGGACCAAGCAGCCGACGGGCGGCCCGTGCCTGAATTCAGACCGGACCAGACTCTTCTTTGTTTGAGCTGCTCCCACACACGCACACCAGAAGATCTCACTTGTCCTAGATTGGACAAGTAAAGTAGAAAGAGAAGGACAACGAGTAGGAGAAAGAGGAGAAATAGATGGACAATGAGTAGAAGAAGAAGGAAGAAAAAAGAGGAGAAGGAACGGAGAAGGAGAAGGAAAAGGAGAAGAAGGAAGAGGAGGAAGGACAAGAAGCGGATAAGGAGAAAAAACAAGGAGGAGAAGGAGAAAGAATAAAAAAGAGGAGGGGAAAGAGAAGGAGGAGAGAAGTCAAGAAGAAGGAGAAAAAGCAGAAGTAGAAGAAAGAAGAGAATGAGTAGGAGAAGAAGATGGGGAAAAGGAGCAGGAAAAGTGACTGGAAGAAGGAGAGAGGAAAAAGAGAAGGAGGAGGAGGAGAAGCAAGAGGGGTGGGAGAAGGAGAAAGAGGAGGATGATAGCAGGTGAAGAGGGAAAAGGAGAGAGGATAAGTCACTCAAAAGTTCAAATTTATGGCGACTCTAAGGAACATCAGTGACTTGTGCAAGGAACGAAAACTAAAATAGAATCACATAGAAAAAGAGCAATGATTCCATAAAATCATAAATTTACAATGTGTATAGAGGCATATATATACATACATACCTATATAGAGAGAGATTTAGAGAGAAGGAGAAAGGTAAAATGGTGCAATGGGAGTTCACATTAAGATGAATGAATAGGGTTGCTCTGACAATTCAACGGAAACTTATAAGCCCTAAGTTCCCCTAGACTCATCAATTTGCTCGAAGGTGATGGCTCTTGACTGGAAGATAATGTAATATCCCCCACCAGCTGCTGAGCTTTATGAAAGGTCACACCCTTGAAGCTAAGATTTCCCAGGAGAAGAAAAAAATGTAACACCCCGGTTTCCCGGATACGTTAATTGATTAAATCAACCACAATATATATCACCAAATATAGAGTCAGAGCTCTAATTACCTCAATAAAAATTATAATTGAGAAATAACATGCATGGACAAAGAATGAATATCTGTCCATAATGATGCAAGCTTCATAGCCTCACCATGTGAGGTTGGGTGGAAGTTTGGCTATAAATAGCCATGGTGCTGTCAAGCAAAATGCAGACAAGAAAGGAGAAAAAAATGATGGAGGAAGGAAGAGAAGAAGAATGAGGGAGGAGAAGGAACATGAGAACGAAAAGGAAAGGAGAAACTGGAGAAGAAGAAGAAATAGGAAAATTGGCAGGAAAAAGGAGTGAGGAGGAAAAATGATACGAAGGAGAGAGGGGGAGAAGAATGATGAAGAAAGAGGAGAAGGAGAAGCAACAAAAGGAAAAGGAGAAGAAGAAAAAGGAGGAGCGAGGAGGAGCATGAGGCTGGTGAAGGAGAGAAGAGAAGTCGCTCGAAAGATCAAAATTTTTGGCGTCTCTAAGGAACATCGATGACTTGCGAGAAACGGAAAAAAAAAAAGCAATAGAAAAAGAGCAATGATTCCATAATCCATAAATTTACAGGGTGTATACAAGCATATACACACATAGATACCTATAGAGAGAAGGAGAAAGGGAAATTGGTGCAATGATAGATTAAATTAGAAACTATGTATTTCTTGGGTTTGAGCCGAACTTACAGGCTTGCATTGACGATTCAACGGAGACTCGTAAGTCCAAAGCAGTGGCGGATCCATAATGGGGGCAGCTGCCCCCATTTGAAATTTAAAATTTTTAGGGCATAAGTATAATTTTAAAAGTTTTAAAATTTATTAGAAATTTTCCCCCACTGAATTTTTTTTAAAAGATTTATATGCAGTTATGATATTTTGACAAATATACAGGTCACTTATAAATGTCAAAAAAATTCCTTTAAAAGGCCAAATGCCTCCATTATGGGTCAGATTAAATTATATTGCTTTTGTGTTTTGAATAGTTTTATTGTGATTGGTTAAATAATTCTTATACCAAAGTTTAGTCTAATAGAACAATTATAGTTTACGTTTGTTTCGATTGATTGTTAAAATTCAACTATTTATGATTGAACCAAATTTTTTGGTTTAAATTTTTTTAGTAGGTGATTAGGCCTTATAGATAAATTTATAGTGAATTTTTTTTGTTGACACTTTTTGTTTAGTGCTCATATATATGAGTTGTTACTTTAATTGACGTTTTATTAATGAAATTATACTTTTGTGAACATTAGTAATTTTAATATTCATACGGTTTAGGTTGCTCCAACTAAGCAAAATTTTTGGCTCCGTCCCAGGTCCAAAGTGCTCCAAGACGGGAATATAACGTAATATCTCCTAGTTGCTGAACTTTATGAAAGACCACAAATTTGAACTCCCCTTGAAGCTAAGATTCCCTAGGAGGAGAAGAAGAATAAAGACAATGAGAAGGAGAAAAAAGAGGAGGATAAGAGTGAGGAGGAGAAGAAGAAAGAGAAGGACAAGGAAAAAAAAGGAGAATGAGAAAACACAAAAGGATGGAGGAGAAGGAGAAGCAAAAGGAAAAATAGGGCAAGAAGGTGGAAGAGATGCAGAAGATGAATTAGGAGAAATAGAAGAATGAGGGAGAAAATGGAAAAAGAGGAGAAAAAGGAGAAAGAGGAAAAGCGATAGGAAAGAGAGACGAGAAGAGAAAGATGAGGAGAAGATTGAAGAAGGAGGAACAGTGGCAAGAGGAAAAGAAGAGGGAGAAAGAGAAGTAAGAGGAAAAGTAGGTGAAGGAGAAGGAGAGAAGAGAAGTCACTCAAAAGATCAAGACCCGTCAATTTGCTCAGAGGTGATGCCTCTTGATTGGAAGGTAATGTAAATAGCCCCTTTTAGTTGTTGAGCTTTATAAAAGGCCATAAATTTGAACTCCCCTTAAAGCTAACATTCCCGAGGAGGCGAAGAAAATAAAGAGAAAAAGGGAGGATAAGAGCGAAGAAAGAAGGGGAGGTGGGGGAGGAGGAGGAGGAGAAAAAGAAGAGAAATGAGGAGAAGGAAGAGGAAAAGTGAGGGAAGAAAGATGAAAAGATGTAGAAGATGAAGGAAAAGGAGAAATAAAAAAGGAGGAAGAAGAATGAGGGAGGAGGGAGGAGGGAGGAGGGAGGAGTAGGAGTACGAGAGCGCAGAGAGAAAGAGAAAAAGGAAAATCAGCTGGAAAAAGACGAAGGAAAAGCGACAAGGAGAGAGGAGAAGAATGAAGAAGAACAAGAACAAGAACAAGAAGAAAAGGAGTAGCAAGAGAAGAAGGAGAAAGAGGAGGATGAGGATGAGAAGCAAGAGGATAAGCTGGGGAAGGAGGAAGAGATGCAAAAGAAGAACTAGAAGACGAGGAAGAAGAAGAAAGAGGGAGGAGAAGGAAAAAAAAGGAGAAAAAGAAGGAGAAAGAGGAAAATTGACAAGCAAAAGGAGGGAGGCGGGAAAGTGACGGGAAGGAGAGACGAGGAAGAGGAAAAGGAGGAGAAGATTGAAGAAGCAGGAGGAAGAGTGGCAAGAGGAGAAAGAGAAGGAGAAAGAGGAGAAGCAAGAGGAAAAGTAGGTGAAGAAGGAGGAGAGAAGAGAAGTCACTCGAAAGATCAAGACCCATCAATTTGCGCGAAGGTGATGCCTCTTGACTAGAAGGTAATGTAATATCCCCTTTTAGTTGCTGAGTTTTATGAAAGGCCATGAATTTGAATTTCCCTTAAAGCTAACATTCTCTAGGAAACGAAGAAAATAAGGAAAAAAAGGAGGATAAGAGTGAAGAAAGATGGGGAGGAGGAAAAGGAGAAGGAGGAGAAGGAAGAGAAAAAGTAAGGGAAAAAAGAGGAAGAGATGTAGAAGATGAAGGAGAAAGAGAAAATAGAAGAGGAGGAAGAAGAAGAAAAAAAAGAATGAGGGGGGAGTGGGAGTAAGAAAGCACAGAGAACGTGGAGAGAAGGAGAAAAAGGAAAATCGGCCGGAAAAAGAAGGGAGGAAAAACAATTGGAAGGAGAAATGAGAAAAAAAGGTGAGGATGAGGATGACAAGGAGGAGGAGGAGATGGAGGAAGAGTGGCAAGAAGAGGAGAGGGAGAAAGAGGCGAAGCAAGAGGAAAAGTAGGTGAAGAAGGAGATGGAGAAGGAGGAGAGAAGAGAAGTCACTCGAACGATCAAGACTCGTCAATTTGCTCGAAAGTGATGCCTCTTGACTGGAAGGTAACATAATAGCCCCTTTTAGTTGCTGAGCTTTACGAAAGGCCATAAATTTGAACTCCCCTTAAAGCTAACATTCTCTAGGAGGCGAAGAAAATAAGGAGGATAAGATTAAAGAAAGAGGGGGAGGAGGAGAAAGAAGAGGAAAAGTAAGAGAAGGAGGAAGAGATGTAGAAGATGAAGGAGAAGGAGAAATAGAAAAGGAGGAAGATGAAGAAGAAAAAGAAGAATGAGGGAAAAGTAGGAGAGCACAGAGACAAGGATAAAAAGGCAAATCGGCTGGAAAAATAAGGGAGGAGAAAAAGTGACAAAGGAAAGAGGAGAAAGTGAAGGACGAGGAGGAGGAGAAGAATGAGGAAGAACAAGAACAAGAAGAATAAGGAGTAGCAAGAGGAGAAGGAGAAAGAGGAGGAGGATGAGAAGCAAGAGGAAATGGAAGGGAACAAGGAGTAAGAGATGCAGAAGAAGAACTAGAAGAGGAGGAAGAAGAAGAATGAGGGAAGAGAAGGAAAAGGAAAAGGATGAGAAGAATAAGGAGAAACAGGAAAATCGATGGAAAAAAGGAAGGAAGATGAGTACATTGAGGAAGGAGTGGCGAGAGGAGAAGAAGAGGGAGAAGAAAGAAAAGCAAGAGGAAAAACAGGAGAAAAAGGAGAGAACAGAAGTCACTTGAAAGATCAAGACTCGTCAATTTGCTCGGAGGTGATGCCTCCTGATTGGAAGATAACGTAATAGCCCCTTCTAGTTGCTGAGCTTTACGAAAGGCCAGAAATTTGAACTCTCCTTACAGCTAGCATTCCCTAGGAGTAGGACGAGGAGAAGGATAAGGAGAAAATGGAGGAGGATTAGAGTGAAGGAGGATGAGCAAAAGAAAGAGAAGGGGAAGCAAGAGGAAAAACAAGTGAAGATGGAGGAACAAGGGGAAAAAAAGAAGAATGAGGGTGGAGAAGGAGCAGGAGAACAGGGAGAGAATGAGAAAGAGAGAAATCGGCTGGAAAAAAAGACAGGAATGAGAGAGAGAAAAAAAGAAGGATGAGGAGGAGACTAAAGAAGAACAAGAAGGAGAAGGAGAAAAAGGATGAGAAATGAGAGGAAAAGCAGGGGGAGGAGGAGGGAGAGATGCAGAACATGAAGGAGAAAGGAGAAATAGAAGAGGAGGAAGAAGAAGAACGAGGGTGGTCAAGGAAAAAAAGAAGAAAAAGGAGAGAGAAAAAGCGATGGGAAAAAGAGATGAGAAAGAGAAAGATGAGGAGAAGATTGAAGGAGGAACAGTGGCAAGAGGAAAAGTAGATGAAAAAGGAGGAGAGAAGAGAAGTCACTCGAAAGATCAAGACCAGTCAATTTGCCCAGAGGTGATGCCTCTTGATTGGGAGGTAACATAAATGGCCCCTTTTAGTTGTTGAGCTTTATGAAAGGCCATATATTTGAACTCCCCCTTATAGGAAGAGGAGAAGGATAAAGAGAAAATGGAGGAGGATATGAGTGAAAGAGGATGAGCAGAAGAAAGAGATGGAGAAGCAATAGAAAAGACAAATGAAGAAGGAGGAAGAGATGTAGAGGATGAAGGAAAAGGAGAAATAAAAGAGGACGAAGAAGGAAAAAAAAAAGAAGAATGAGGGTGGAGAAGGCGCAGCAGAATGGAGAGAGAAGGAGAAAGAGAGAAATCGGCTGGAAAAAAGGAAGAAAAATGACAGGAAGGAGAGGAAAAAAAGAAGGATGAGCAGAAGACTGAAAAAGAACAAGAACAAGAAGTAGGAGTAGCAAGAGGAGGATGAGAAGTAAGAGAGAAAAAAAAGGGGGAGGATGAAGAGATGTAGAAGATGGAGGAAGGAGAAATAGAGGAGGAGGAAGAAGAAGAAGAAGAAGAAGAATGAGGGAGGAAAAGGAAAAAGAAGAGAAAAAGAAGGAGAAAGAGGAAAAGTGACAGGAAAGAGACAAGAAAGAGAAGGATGAGGACGAGAAGATTGAATGAGGAACAGTGGCAAGAGAAAAAGAAGAGGGAGAAAGAGAAGTAAGAGGAAAAGTGGGTCAAGAATGAGGAGAGAAGAGAAGTCACTCGAAAGATCAAGACCCGTCAATATACTCGGAGGTGATGCCTCTTGATTGGGAGGTAACGTAAATAGCCCCTTTTTAGTTACTGAGCTTTATGAAATGCCATAAATTTGAACTCCCCCCTTAAAGCTAATGTTCCCTAGGAGGCGAAGAAAATAAGGATAAAAAGGAGGATAAGACTAAAGAAAAAGGGGGAGAAGGAGGAGAAAAAGAAGAGAAATGAGGAGGTGGAGGAGAAAGAAGAGGAAAACTAAGGGAAGGAGGAAGAGATGTAGAAGATGAAGGAGAAGGAGAAATAGAAAAGGAGGAAGAAGAAGAATGAGGGAAAAGCAAGAGAGCACGGAGAGAAGGATAAAAAGGCAAATCGGCCAGAAAAAGAACGGAGGAGAAAAAGCGACAAGGAGAGAGGAGAAAGGGAAGGACGAGGAGGAGAAGGAGAAAAATGTGGAAGAACAAGAACAAGAAGAATAAGGAGTAGCAAGAGGAGAAGGAGAAGAAACATAAGGAATGGAAGGAGATGGAGAAAGCGGAGGATGAGAAGCAACAGGAAATGCATGGGAAAAAGGAGGAAGAGATGCAGAAGAAGAACTAGAAGACAAGGAAGAAGAAGAATGAGGGAGGAGAAGAAAAAGGATGAGAAGAAGAAGGAGAAACAGGAAAATCGACAGGAAAAAGAAAGGAAGAGGAGTAGATTGAGGAAGGAGGAGTGGCAAGAGGAGAAGAAGAGAGAGAAGGAAGAAAAGCAAGAGGAAAAACAGGAGAAAAAGGAGAGAAGAGAAGTCACTCGGAAGATCAAGACTCGTCAATTTGCTTGGAGGTGATGCCTTATGATTGGAAGATAATGTAATAGCCCCTTCTAGTTGTTGAGCTTTATGAAAGGCCACAAATTTGAACTCCCCTTACACCTAGCATTCCCTACGAGGAGGAGAAGGATGAGGAGAAAATGGAGGAGGATAAAAGTGAAGGAGGATGAGTAGATGAAAGAGAAAGAGAAGCAAGAGGAAAAACAAGTGAAGGAGGAAAAGATGTAGAAGATGGAGGAAAAGGAGAAATAGAAGAGGAGGAAGAAGGGAAAAAAAGATGAATGAGGGCTGAGAAGGAGCAGAAGAATGGGGAGAGAAGGAGAAAGAGAGAAATTGGCTGAAAAAAAGGAGGAAAAACGACAGGAAAGAGAGGAAAAAAAGAAGGATGAGGAGGAGGAGACTGAAGAAGAACAAGAACAAGAAGTAGGAGTAGCAAGTAGAGAAGGAGAAGGAGGAGGATGAGAAGTGAGAGAGGAAAAGTAGGGGGAGAAGGATGAAGAGATGCAGAAGATGGAGGAAGGAGAAATAGAAGAGGAGGAAGAAGAAGAAGAATGGGGGAGGAAAAGGAAAAAGAGGAGAAAGAGGAAAAGCGACTAGAAAAAGAGATGAGAAAGAAAAGGATGAGGAGAAGATTGAAGAAGGAGGAACAGTGGCAAGAGGAAAAGAAGAGGGAGAAAGAGGAAAAGTAGGTGAAGAATGAGGAGAGAAGAGAAGTCACTCGAAAGATCAAGACCCATCAATTTGCTCGGAGGTGATGCCTCTTGATTAGGAGGTAATGTAAATAGCCCCTTTTAGTTGCTGAGCTTTATGAAAGGCCATATATTTGAACCCCCCTTAAAGCTAATGTTAGGGGTAGAAATCGCGCGTTCGGATCTCATCCCTGAACACCAAGGATTTTGTTTCGGTGGACAGGACTCCCTCCCTCCGAAAGGATTTTGGCTGGACAGGACCCTTTCCTAAGGTAATACAGTAGCCTTTACCTCCATCCCACATCGGGTAGGAGTTGTCTGCCCCCTTGCCATATAAGTGAACACTTCCTATGGAGGAGGTACCCACTAGCGACCTGATCAAGTGCTAGTGGGTACCTCCTCCATAGGAAGTGTTCACTTATATGGCAGTGGGGGAGACGACTCCTACCCGATGTGGGATGGAGGTAAAGGCTACTGTATTGCCTTAGGAAAGGGTGCAGGCCAGCCAGAATCCTTGGTGTTCAGGGATGAGATTCGAACGCGCGATTTCTACCCCTAACAGCTAACATTCCCTAGGAAGAGAAGAAAATAAGGAGAAAAAGGAGGAGGATAAGACTAAAGAAAGAGGGGGAGGGGAGGAGAAAAAGAAGAGAAATGAGGAGGAGGAGGAGAAAGAAGAAGAAAAGTAAGGGAAGAAGGAGGAAGAGATGTAGAAGCTGAAGGAGAAGGAGAAATAGAAAATGAGGAAGCAGAAGAAGAAAAAAAAGAATGAGGGAAAACATGAGAGCAGGGAGAGAAGGATAAAAAGGCAAATTGGCTAGAAAAAGAAGGGAGGAGAAAAAGTAACAGGAAGGAGAGAGGAGAAAGAGAAGGATGAGGAGGAGAAGGAGAAGAATGAGGAAGAACAAGAAAAAGAAGAATAAGGAGGAGTAGCAAGAGGAGAAGGAGAAGAAACATAAGGAATGAGAGGGAGAGGGAGAGGGAGAAAGAGGAGGAGGATGAGAAGCAAGAGGAAATGCGGGGGAAAAAGGAGGAAGAGAGGCAGAAGAAGAACTAGAAGAGGAGGAAGAAGACGAATGAGGGAGGAGAAGGAAAAGGATGAGAAGGAGGAGCAAGAGGAAAATCGATTGGAAAAAGGAGGAAAGAGGAATAGATTGAGGAAGGAGGATTGGCAAGAGGAGAAGGAGAGGGAGAAGGAAGAAAAGCAAGAGGAAAAGTTAGAGAGAAGAGAAGTCACTCGAAAGATCAAGACTCATCAATTTGCTCAGAGGTGATGCCTCCTGATTGGAAGATAACGTAATAGCCCCTTCTAGTTGCTGAGCTTTATGAAAGGCCACAAATTTGAACTCTCCTTACAGCTAGCATTCCCTAGGAGTAGGAAGAGAAGGATGAGGAGAAGGATAAGGATAAGGAGAAAATGGAGGAGGATAAGAGTGAAAGAGGATGAGCAGAAGTGTTGGAGTTATAGCAGCCTAGGTTTTTTGAATTGTGTTGGGTTACTGATTTTGGAGTACTGATTTTGCTGGGTTCATTGGTTTATTGGGCTGTCTCGCTGATGGAGTTGGTTTATTGGGCTGTTGGTGGTTTATGTTGGTTGGTGGTTTATATGGTGTAGTTGGTTTAGGTGGTTTTTGGCTGTCGGTGGTCTGGTGGCAGGCTGATTTTGTGTTGTTTGTGGGTTGCTGCTGATGTTGGCTAGGCTGTCGGTGGGTTGGGTTCTTGGTGGTTTGATTCTTGGTTTAGTTTAGGTGGTTTGTGGCTGTCAGTGATCTGGTGGCAGGCTGATTTAGTGTTGTTTGTGGGTTGCTGCTGATGTTGGCTAGGCTGTTGCTGGGTTGGGTTCTGGGTAGTTTGATTCTTGGTTTATCGCTGGTGGTTTGTTGGTGGAACTAGTTGGGTTGTTTGTGGAAGCTGTGCTGGTGAAGCTGTGTTGGTGGAGGATGTCTGTGGGCAGTGGGTTTGTCACTGGGTGCTTGCCGGTGGAGACTGGTTTGGTGTTGCTTGTTGATGGCCGGGTGGTTTCGTCGTGTTGCTTGTTTGGCGGAGGCTAGGGTTAGACTTAGAGTTAGGGTTGGTGGCTCTGATGTGAGTGAAAGGGATACAAACTAAGTGTAGAGCCCCCATATATATAGCCAATAAAAGTCACAATAAGGATAAAAAGGTAAAAAAATAAAAAATTCTAATAAACCCTAATAACCAAGGCTTCTATAACTCCAACAAGAAGAAAGAGAAGGAGAAGCAAGAGGAAAAACAAGTGAAGAAGGAGGAAGAAATGTAGAAGATGAAGAAGGAAAAGGAGAAATAGAAAAGGAGGAAGAAGAGAAAAAAAAAAAAGAATGAAGGCGGAGAAGGAGCAGGAGAACGGGGAGAGAAGGAGAAAGAGAGAAATGGCTGGAAAAAAGGAGGAAAAAAAAAGGATAGGACGAGGAGGAAACTGAAGAAGAACAAGAACAAGAAGAAGGAGTAGCAAGAGAAAGAGAAGGAGGATGAAAAGTGAGAGGAAAAGCCGGGGAGGAGGAGGAAGGAGAAATAGAAGAGGAGGAAGAAGAACAAGGGAGAAGGAAAAAGAAAAGGAGGAGAAGAAGGAGAAAGAGAAAAATCGACAGAAAAAATGAGGGAGGTGATGAAAGCGACAAGGAGAGACGAGAAAGAGAAGGATGAGGAAAGGGAAGAGAGGAAAAGCATGTGAAGGAGGACGAGAAGAAAAATCGCTCGAAAGATCAACACCCATCAATTTGCTTAGAGGTGATAGTCCCTTCTAGTTGCTGACTATATGAAAGGCCACAAATTTGAACTCCCCTTAAAGTTAACATTCCTGGGGAGGAGGAGAAGGAGAAGGAGGAGAAAAATGAAGAAGAATAGGAACTAGAACAAGGAGGAGGAGACATAGCAAGAGGAGAAGGAGAA